GACAGAGCAAGACTCCGTCTCAAAAAAAAAAAAAAAAAAAAATTAATATACATTACCTTTGCTGTTAGTGACAGCAGTATCATTTTATTACATATGGTTAGAGGGATAAGACAGACATTCACCTGTATGTTACTTTTAATGGGCAAAAAATGCGCCTTTGACTCTAAATAGCACTTTCAGGGGTTCAAGAAGTAATCAGTATGCAAGGCAGTCTTTTATACAATAATTGAAGTGTTCTCTTTTTCATAATTCCTCTACCTCCCAGTAACCCTAAGGAAGTTGCTAACTTAAAAAACCGCATCCAGTTTCTGTGAATTTAGTAAATAAACAAAGACATGTGGAAAATAGGAAGTGAACCCATTATTTTAAATTCTCGTAAGTAGCATTCATGTAATAAACAGGTTTTTAGTTTGTTCTTCATATTGACATGTCATTTAAAAGAAATGTTAGTAGTTACTAAAATGATGTTACTCTGTTTTTCAGAAATCAAACTACTTATGAAAAGTACTAACAGAACTTGTTAACCTTTCTAATCTTCACGATTAACTGTGAAATATGTGCCGTTTGTGCAAGACCATGTGTCCACTTCATTTTGTATAATCACAGTTGTGTTCCCGACACTCAATAAACAGTCATTGGAAAGAGTGCCAGTCAGCAGTCATGCACGCTGATTGGGTGTGTACATCTGTGTTGGTTTGAAGGTGGGGGGTTATTATCGAGAAATACAAGCTGAACATCGTATCTGAATTAAATAACAAGGGTTATGTAAGTGGGTTATTAAATATGACTAAACGGTCACAATCTTACTCTTACATGACTAATACCACCTCTTATCCAGATACTATCAACCCAATTTGCAGGCCTTTAAAGGCAGTTTTTCCCCCAGATAGGAGGTGCTTCCACAAAACTTTAGTGATTCCAAGATTACTTTAGTGAAGCGAGAGGAATTGTAAGAGGATTTACATTAAAATAGGATTCGATTAATGAAAAAAAAAAGTTTACTCAGATTTTCTACCTCTTATAAAAATGAAGTCAGGTAAACTTGTGTTTT